ATGCACAAAAAGAAACACTGTCCGGGGTTCCCGTGCCTCTCCTCATTCCCAGCCCCACTAACCAGGAGCTGAAAAGGAGAGAAAGCCCGGAGTTACCTTTTGATGTCTGCTATAATCAACTTTACAATGCTCTCTGTATGATAACAGGGCCATTTGCATCCCTTAACTATGATAGGAGGGGATTCACCAGAGGCTTAATCCATGTGTGGTCCCTGCAAATAGATTTTAGGCTTTCACTGTCATCCACAGCTTTCTGAAAACCAGGTGTTCACGATTTAAGCTCTGATGCCTTTCCCTCCTTTAGATATGGATTTATTATTTACAATTCTTGGGTCACACAGGCTGGTGTGCTTCGTCCATGTGGATTTAGTTGAAGCCCTCACTTAGAAGGCTGTGTGTTTGAAAACACGCCTTTACAACCCAGTACACTGGCCATCTGGTTTCTTCACCACACTTTGCTATAGCACCCCTATCTTCATGAGGGCAAGCACCAAGCAGGGTCATTCAACAAGTTTTGTAATAATGAGGAAAATGTAATCATGAGGATGGTGACAAAACCTTCAATTTTTACATAAAATCAAGTAAAGAAAACTACCTACAGGAAGCCTTCCATTGACCAGAAATGAGTGGGGGTGGCATAGAGATACATGAGAAATATGTAGTCCTCTTTCAACTTCTGTCTTTGCTGTTCGTGAGTCTAGGTCTCTAGTTAAATAAAATGGGCGCAACCATGATGTGCTGAGAAGAATCTGCTCGTCAACTTTCTGAACGACGTCCTTAGACTTGGGAAAAAGCAAACGTTCCAACAAACCGAGCAGCCTCCGTAGGCTCCTTCTTGCCAGCTCAGATTTGCCCGGAAGCTGATGCCACCTGGCCGGAGGTGGGGCCCTGGCGACCAGGAGGGCGGCCCCCCCACGGTCGAGTCCGTGCCACCAGGTCTGGGAAAGTCCCTCTCCTTGCCGCGGCCTCGGGGCGGCCTCGGACATTAATAAATCATGAGGATCTTCTCGCCATTAGCTGACGCTGCCACCGCGCTGGCGAGGGCCCAATGAAAAAGAGCCTGAGAGGACGCTTCTGAATAGTGAGCGCGCACCCGTGACGTTGAGGCCAGCGATTGGCTGCCGCGCCGGGAGGCGGGGTCGGGCTCGGGCGCTGGCGAGCGCGGCGGGGGCGGCTCAGTGTGAGCCTGGGAGCCTGGAGTGCGGCGCGGCGGGACGCCGGGGGGATCCGAGGCCAGCGGGCGCACGGCGCGAACTGCAGGGCGGACGATGTTCAGCTGGATGGGGCGGCAGGCCGGCGGGCGCGAGCGCGCGGGCGGCGCGGACGCGGTGCAGACGGTGACGGGAGGCCTGCGCTCGCTCTACCAGCGCAAGGTGCTGCCGCTGGAGGAGGCGTATCGCTTCCACGAGTTCCACTCGCCCGCGCTGGAGGACGCCGACTTCGACAACAAGCCCATGATCCTGCTGGTGGGCCAGTACAGCACCGGCAAGACCACCTTCATCAGGTAACCGCCCCCGCCGCGGGACGGCCCTCCCCACGTGCACGTGTGGTCCTCAGCACCCACCTCCCAGCCCACCCCGCTGGGGGCGTCCTGCGGTGCCCGCTTCCCCATCCCGGAACCCCGCGACCGCAGCTCCCCGCACCCCCAGCATCTGCAGGACCTCAGGCCCCGGGCTTCAGCCCCTCCCCCGGGCGGGCGCAGCCGCCCAGTAGTGTCGGACACTCCCCCACGCGGGCCTGAGGGCCCCCAAACCCCTTCCTGGTACACCCAAGAGCTCTCCTTCCTGCCGTCGGAAGGACGCTTCCCTGGCTGATTGTATCTGCCTTTCTAGTCCCCTTCCTGGAAGGGAGAGCAAGGCTGCCACAGCATCTTCTAAGGAAGGGATACGGCCTAAAGCTAGAAATAGGCCCGAGGTGCTGAGTGTTAGAATGGGATCCCATGCAACCAATATCTAGCCGCTATAGGGTCTTGGTTGAAGAGAGTGCCGGCGTTATAACTATTTACCAAAAAATGAATGGCAACAGTAGAGGAGGTTGCCCATGACCCATGACATTGCATGTCAACCCCCACCCCTGTTCCATGGGAGGGGACTGTCGGGGTCGCTTCATTCTGCTGGTTCCCAGCCGGGTCTGTAGGAGGCCATCCGAAGAAGTTAGAGGGTGTCAAATTACGCTTTGTTTCTATTTCTTAAATGGGTCTTAGTTCCTATTTTCTTAGGTGGGTCACTTCCTCCTGGCTCACCCTTGACAACTGAAAATATTTGTTATGCTTGCTGTGTTTCTACAAGGAATCGCCATGCATGCCTTGTGTTTTGAACAAATAGATTTCCTCGGAAGTGACTTTTGATGGGAAATAATGTGTGTATGGAAGTACGTAGATTGCCTTTTGAAGCAGCTATTTTATTTCTAAAGCAGCCAGTATATTGTTTGCTGTCTCAGTTGAAGCAGTTACTGACCGTTTCAGGTTTGGGTTCTGGGTTTTGGAAATTGTTAACCATCTCTTCATCATTGGTGTTTATTCAACAGGTGTTTGAGAAAATCTATATTTGGATGCATGCCATTTCTATTAAGTGGTGACCTCCTTTTTCTCCACTCCAGTGGCCTAAATAGCTCCTACAACCAGAGGAGTAGTTGTCACTATAGAAAATATGTTAAAAATGAGCTGATGCCAGGGGCTTACGTGGAGAGCAAATGTTTTGAGAATGATGAGGGTAACGAATGTACAAATGCGCTTTATACAATTGATGTAGGTATGGATTGTAATAAGAGTTGTATGAGCCGCCAATAAAATGACGAAAAAAAAGAGAAAATATGTTAAATTCATGCCCTCTGAATTTGGCACATACACTATGAATGAATTCAGCTAAGCAAATGCTCTGTGTACCAAATCATAGTTGTAGACAATACAGTGAATGTCGAGAAGAGAAGACTAGAAAAAACAATTTAAAAACTGCCTTGATGCTTATGAGTATGCTGAAAATTGGACTAAGTATGTCTCCCCAGATACTCCAAATAAACAAAAATATTACAGGAACCAACACCTTGAAAGGTGACAAGCAGATGGTATACATAAGGTCTCAGTAATAACTAGCCAGTTTTTAAGAACTTGGATAATAAAGTATTATGACCAAGTGGTACAGGAGTAGGAGGTGGAATTTTTGAACTATATCAAGTGTAAGAGTATTGTTAGAATGATACTATCGCAGACATTAGTGGTGCGTGTCCACAGCACCGGGGCAGTTTTTCCTGTTTGTCTTTGCCACAAAGGCATTACTATGCATATGTGTAATTAGGGAGCCCCTGCTTAATGTGGCACCAACCTGCAGCTAGGACAGCCTTTCTCAGCTGCCCCGGCCTGGACAAAAAGCAGTCTGGAGAAGGAGAACACAGCTCATAGAAGGGCCCTGACTTCATTCTCCACCCCCACCCCTACTCCCCAATTTACTTTTTTCATTACTTGGGGCAAGTTTTATGAAATAATTAAATAGTTTTAAGAAGGGTTCTGAGATTTGATTTATTCCAGTTGTTCCACCCAAATCAACCACTTCTCAGCCACTCACAACCCTTGGGTGAAGGAGGAGGGGCTTTTCTGGAAGCCCCTGGTCTTTGAGGACATCGCTGACTTAAGTAGCCTTGTTAGGCCACGGGTACAAGGCGGACCTTTGAGTTAAGAAGAAGTCAGGTTGGACAAGAAGCTTGGTTAGGCCGTGAGTTTGTTCCAGAGTAGAGCTAGGTGGAACCCCCTCTTAAAAGGTCAGCCATCTGAGAGACGCCTGTACTGGTGCCAGAGAGCAGAATGCTTGGTGCAGGGTGCTGATCATGCTGGTTCCTGACTCCTCCATAGCCATCGCTGATCTGTGCCACAGAGGCCTGAATCGATTGCCTGCCTCTACTGACTGAATGCTGGAAGCTCATGGTTGGATGTGGGGTGCACCTATCCAAACAGTCAGAGATTCTTACCCACCTGGTTTCCTGCCACATCCCAAGAGGTCACTCACTGATAACGCAGAGCTAATGTGGAGGGGAACTTCCCACCGTAGAGCTACTCAGCAAAGTCTGTGTTCCCCATTCCACACCTTGAATGAACCCATACCTTTAACCAACCTCTTTTTGTCCCATGGTTGGGAAGGTGGGCCAAGACCTTCATCTGGAGTGGGGAAATTCAGTGTGTGTCTTGTCTGAGGAAAAGCTTTCCCGGATGGGGTGAATGGAGAGGTTGACCACCAAGAAAATGTACACCGCCTGGAAGCTCATCAGGGTCCATATACAGGGATGGACAGAGGGAAGGCAGTGGGTGTACTCTTCTCACCCAAATCACAAAACTGGCCCCAAAGGACATTTGAGATGGCTTAAAGATATTTGTCAAGGTTGCAACCGTTTCTCGTCGAAGACAGGATGTCCTCAATTGGCTGTTCCACCTCTCAGCAGAAGGGACGAATTGGTCAGATGTCTAAGCTTCCTCCTGCTGCTGTAACACAAATACCACAAGTGGGTGGCTTTAATGAAAAGAAATGCATGTTTCTCGTGGTGCTGACTGCTTGTTTATGATTTAACTAACACAACCAAGAAAACCCAATTTCCAAATCGCATCATGTACGCAAGTATAGGGCTTAGGATTCCAACATCTATTTGGTAGGAATTAATAATTCCACCATCGGACCCTTCTCAAAATGTATGTTCATATCACTTGCAAAACACATTCACCCTCCCATATGATCCCCCCAACCATAACCCATGCCAGCCTCAACTGTAAGGTCTAAAATCTCATCTGCATCGTCTAAATCAACTAAGGGTGAGACTCTGGATGTTTTCCTTCCAGGACTAAATCCCTTTCCGACTGTAGACCTGTAAAATCTAGGCTGTAAGTCATCTCCAAAAGTAGTGATGGAACAGACACCTGGTAGACATTTCACTTCCAAATCAGAGAAATTGGAAGGAAATAAGTCATGGGTACAAGTCAGGTCAAAGCCAGCAGGGAAGTTGTCATTGGGCATTTTCCTGGACTAGTGAAACAGCCTAACCTCTTGACTTTGGGCTGCGGCCTCATTCTCTTAGCCCACTTACGTGGCCTCCTTACCTCTGAAGTTGGCCTCCCTCTCTGAAACTGAGGAAGTAGCAGTCCTGCCCAGTGCTCCTCTGTGACAGTTCTGTGATATCCCAACTGCTCCTGAGGTAGTGCCTTTCTTTTCTTGGAGGACAACAGGTGCTGACAACTAACTAGCTGCATTGGCCCATTTCCTGCCTGTAAAATTCCAGGAGACAGACAGCTTTCTTTCATTTGGTTCTGTCTCCACTGAGAGGATTTCGGCCATGGTGATTGACTAGATCCATTTGTCACAGGCCTGATCTCTTTATAAAAACGTATGTGGCCACACCCTTGGGGAAAGTTCCAAGGCATGCTTTTTAAGTTTGCGTCACAGACTGTTGCAAATCTCTTAAGTTCTGGTTTCATTTGCACTCTATTCAACTGTAAGCAACAAGGAGGAAGCATGCTTCATCTCGAAGATTTTGCTTAAAAATTTCTTCAGCCAAACATCCAAAATTGTCACTTACAAGTTCTATTTTCCACAAAATATTAGCACATACTCCAAAGTATTTGCCGCCTTATAAAAAAGGATCACCCTTCTTCTACTATCCAATAATGTGTGTGTCATTTCCTTTTAAAGTCCCACCAGCAGCACATTTAATGTGTCTACACATACTTTTGAACTGCTGACCTTGTAGTTAGCCCAATGCATAACCACTATGCCACCAGGGCTCCTTAGCCTAGCACGGAAAATCTTATTTTCAAACAGGGTTGCATCCACAGGTAAGGTTAATATTCCACATGTACTTTGGATGGACACAATTTATAACACCAGAAAAGGAGAAGAGATAGAAGTGGAAGTGACCATATTGACTTAGACTTTGTACCAGCCCAGGATGAGTAGTTGCTGAGCTTGGCCAGCCTTCTGTCACAAACAAAGGAAAACAGACTTCAGAGATTTGCCCAGAAGAGCTCTTGCTGTGAAGGTGGACACACTTGAAAGGATGTGAGGTTCACCTAAAATCAGTTCACACCCCATGATTGCAACTTCTCATTTTAGAGAACTCTTCCTATATTACCATCCCTTCACTGCCCTCCCTTCTCTCCCCCTTCAGAAAAAGTATCTTCATGAAGAAGAAAGAAGGAAGTTACTCAAGGAATCTGTAGGCTTTTAAGGGCAGGGTCCAAGAAACTAGACAAAAGAAAGAAAAAGGCATTTAGGTAGACAAGAAAGAGGTAAAAATAACTCTTCTCACAGATAGCATGGTCTTGTGTATAGAAAATCCTAAGGGATCTACACCAAAACAAAACAAACTATTAGAACAAGCAAATTCATCACAGTTACAGGATACAAGATCAATATGCAAAACTCTATTGTATTTCTATACATAAGCAATTACAATACAAAAATTAAAAAGAAAAACCATTCCATGTACAATAGCATCGAAGAGAAGAAAATATGTGGGAATAAACATAAC